CGCGCCATTATTCCATGGCTAGAAATTGGCCTCAATGATTTGGGATCGAGGGGGATTATCCCTCTTTATCCTGCCTCATCTCGTGTAGGCCTGGACAGCCTTCGTAGGTGGGCCCCATCCGTCGTCTACCCCGACCGCAAATGCGGCCGGTGTAGGCGCTTTGTGGGACCTCCTTTTGTCCTGGCTGGGCCCCGCCGGCTAGGGCCCTTTCTTCTGGCGCTCTTCTTGCTTCGCCGGCTCGTCTGTGTAAATCCAGGGTGTGGTGTCATGTTTATGTGTGTTATGGTTGGGTAGTGCGGCTGGTATACGCTTTGCTAAGGTGGGCCTTAGGCTTGCGCGGGTGGGGAGTGGTAAGGAGGGTATGGGGGGTGTGTATTCGTGTGTGTGTGTGTGTGTCGTTGTCTTCGTTTCTTGATCCTGGCGGTCTCTCAAACAGAAAAGGTTAGGGGGCAGGGGGGGGGATGTCGTTGGGTTGGTCACCCATGGTCAAAAAGTTGGTGTCTAAGTCTTTTGTGTTTGTCGGTCACGTCGGGTACGTAATCAACGGCTTGTCTGAGGAAGGGATTGCCATGTCTAGCGGCTACGTCAAACCGTTTCTCCGCGTTTTGTCATATTGTCTGTGCAGCGTTTGTGTATTGTAAGTCTCGTAATATATGTCGGTGTTTCTTACGTACCAGAGCGCGTCGGTGGCCTTGCGGAGGGCTATGTTTTCCACAGCAGCTACTAATAGCTACTATTTTTGCCAAATCGAAAGGCCCTATTGTGTGTGCTACTCCCGAGGACTTACTGCAATAAGGCAATAATGGAACAGATTAGAAATAGTGTACGGATGCTGTGGTTTAGCAAGGTTTCTAAACAGATAGAAACCTTGGCGATTGAGGTAAAGCCGACGGCGTGATCTAGCTGAAGTAATAACATAGGGAAATATATGCAATTTTGCTATTACAAAAGCTGACGTGATCTAGATGATTGGTACGACGATTATTATACAGTAGGCCGTATTTACGTCGGGTTTTTTGATGTCGGGGTCCTAGACATGTTTTTTTTAGGTGACTGATGCACACTTAAAATTTAGAGACCGGCGCAATCTCGTATAAAAAGCTCTCTCTCCTATTGTTAATAATATACGTAATAACCCACTAAACACGAAACGTAAATGAAACGTTGCAAATGAGATGTTNAAGGTATTATAAAAGATCACAATTATAAATTAGTGTTTACAAACAGAGTATTAGGTATATAAATACATGTCTTTGCGAATTAATAGGCGCATTCCGAGAGCTTTTCGGAGGACCTACGTGACAACGCTATCACCGCTTAGACACCAACTTTTTGACCCTGGGTGACCACAACAACGACATCCCCCCCCGACCGCTAACTGTTTCAGAAACCGCCAGGATCAAGAAACGAAGACAACGATACAAACACATACACACCCCCCCATACCCTCCTTACCCCATCCCTCCCGCGTTAGCCTAAGGGCCACCTTAGCAAAGCGCATCCCAGGCTGCATAGCCGCACTACCCTACCCAATCATACCACACATAAACATGACACCACCCCCGGGGGTTTACACAGACGAACCGGCGAAACAAGAAGAGCGCCAGAAGAAAGGGCCCTAGCCGGCGGGGCCCAGCCAGGACAAAAGGAGGTCCCACAAAGCGCCTACACCGGCCGCATTTGCGGTCGGGGTAGACGACGGATGGGGCCCACCTACGAAGGCTGTCCAGGCCTACACGAGATGAGGCAGGATAAAGAGGGATAATCCCCCTCGATCACAAATCATTGAGGCCAATTTCTAGCCATGGAATAATGACGCAAATCGCTTGGAGTTGATCCTATGGTCTGAGAGTATAATATGCTAGAGAAGGGTCTGAGATGTGGAAATTCAACTATTTTAACTGAACACGCCAGAGCAGGGAGACTAGATACTGAACATAACTGATCTTGGGTTCTTGGGAACTAGACACAAACTGCAAACAGTGCGCAAGTGGAAACTGCAGCTAAGTTCATTTAAATGCTGCGTATTAATAGGACTTGAGGAGTGGTGATTTTGCGCGGGAGTTTTACTGTAAAATTATTTTATCAAAACGGTGACTAACTGACTAGTGTATTTACAAATATTTCCAATGGGAATTCAGAATTTAATAAAATTACTGGCGGATGTAGCCCCACAAGCCATTAAAGAAACAGATATTAAAACTTACTTTGGTAAGTAAGGTATATATTGTTTGCACCGATACTTTGTGTCTAGGTTGATCAATTTATTTTATAGGTAGAAGGATAGCTGTTGATGCTTCCATGTGTTTGTATCAATTTCTAATAGCTGTAAGAAATGAAAGTGGTCAGTTAACATCTACAGATGGTGAAACAACATCCCATTTATTAGGAACATTTTATCGAACTATTCGTCTTGTGGAAAATGGCATTAAGCCTGTTTATGTTTTCGATGGAAAACCACCAGATTTGAAATCGGGAGAATTAAACAAAAGACAGGAAAGACGTGTGGAAGCACAAAAGGCATTGGACAAAGCTACAGAAGCAGGTGATGCTGCTGAAATGGACAAATTTAATCGTAGGCTTGTTAAAGTTACTAAACAGCATGCAGAAGAAGTAAAGCAGTTATTATCATTGATGGGAATTCCTTATATAGATGCTCCCTGTGAAGCTGAAGCTCAGTGTGCTGCTATGGTATTAATGTTTTTATTGTCTTCATTGCCATCTAATTCTTGTATTGTTTAGGTTAAGGCTGGCAAAGTATTCGCTACAGCTACGGAGGACATGGATGCATTAACATTTGGGTCAAAAGTTCTAATTCGTCATATGACATTCAGTGAGGCTAGAAAAATGCCTATACAAGAAATATATCTGGATAAAGTTCTGCAAGGTTTAAATTTGAAACAAGAAGAAGTAAATATCTATTTAATTGTGTACGTAAATGTAATAATTCTTAATTATTTATTTTAGTTTGTAGACCTGTGCATATTATTGGGTTGTGATTATACTGATAGCATCAGAGGTATTGGCCCTAAACGTGCTATGGAATTAATAGAAAAACATAAAAATATTGAATCTATTTTAAAAAATATTGATAAAGAAAAGTATCCACCACCTGAAAATTGGAATTATGAAAGTGCCAAAAGTCTATTTGTTAATCCAGAGATTACCGATCCAGAAACAATTGAGGTACGTATAACAGTGTGACCCATAAAAATCAGGACATCTCTTTTTTTCCTCCTCTTTCCTCTTTTTTTTTTAAGTCATCTTTTTTTAATGTACCGAATATATTTCTTAACCTGAAACTTTCAAGTTTCAAGTAATAAGCACCCTATTGAGAAAATGTCAATAATGAATATTTAATCATTCCTCAGGGAATATACATTAGTGCTAAAATTAGTCCCTGTCCCTCATGCCTTGGAGGTGGGGAGGGGGGTAACATTGAAACACCCATTTTTTATAGCACATTCGAAATCTGCGACTAAAAAAAAGTATGTAGAATTTGTCTGAAACATTTTTTTTATTCATGTTAGATGGTGCTGTAATCGAAAAAATTCAATTTTTTTGACCTACTGAGAACCTATGCTCATTTACCAGTTCTTGTTATTTAATTAGTCGGAAAGTTCAAGTTATTGTAGTTTACTTATATTTCCTTGATTAACCATATATGACGTAACAATACTTTTGCTGTGATTTGTAATAACACTTCAACCCCCCCCCCCATTTTGCATTCACTTCAAATTTTTACAAATAACATTTTGAGTAATACTTTGTGTAGGTAAACTAAACGAGTCCAAATTATATCTATACTCCGCGGTCGAAATTATAAAAAGTGACTAATACATAATATAAAACACTATTACCATAATGCGTATAAAATATAAAATGATTTTTATACGGTTCAATATTATTTATCTTTGTGCCGCTCGCTACGCACATCGATACAATCTATAATCGTCTAGAGACCGAGCTACACTGAACGTCAATCTATATTCTATCTCTGTTTTTTGCACTTGGTAGGGAATAGGGAAATGCTTTTTTAGAGGGTGTAAACGGACTTGATTTAACCCGCCCTGAGAAACGTCATAGCATAAGCGTAGACGAGGTGTCTAATTCCATGGCTATAATAAATTTATAAATTAAAGAAAACACAATTGGAACGTTTTAAAATGCTGTAATAATTAAAATGGATCAAAGTGCCTGTTATAGCAAACCGTAAAAAATATTAGATGTTATGTTTTATTATCTTTTTTCATTATTTTCTATATCTTGTTGCCTTTTAGGCAGACACGCCAATGGATTTTCGTTCCCGGCAAGCTTCATCCCCCTCACTAGTCCAAAAGCTAGCGATGAATCACTCTCTATAATTTCGACCGTGGAGTATAGAAAGCCACTATTAATAAACAAAACTTCATTTGAATAATGTGTTTTTAAAAAAAAATCGACATGTCTTGAACATGTAATAATGCCAATGCCAAATTGTCAAATTTGTTTGATCAAAACAGTTGGTCATAATGATATTGATAAAAAAAATCAAACGCTTCTTGTTAATAGTTCTGGTTTCCAGTTAAATGAAAGACACTGACTATTCTTAGAGGGCTCCACAGACTTCTTACAGTTCGCGCGAATAGGGCCACACAAATCTGCACGAACATGTAGAGAAAATAGCGGTACGGTTTCACCGTCGTGCAAAATCTGTTTTGGTTAAATACGTTGTCTTTTTTGGTTCACGCTATTTGGTCCGTATGAATGGAAGGAAGTCTGTGGGGCCCTTAAGGCTGGTCCATGTTGGAACAAAATTCGCGATTTGCTTGAAAAAAAATAGTGAGCACAAATTGAGAGAAAAGTTCAAATAATTTCAACTTTTATGGATTTTGATTTGTAACAATAGTACATAGACCAGACAGATAATTAATTAGTGAAGTTATGTCATACCATTTTCTAAGCATGAGAATAAAAGAATTATTCTAAAAACTATCGAGCTATAGTTAACAACAATAAATCAAATTTAAAAACTAGTTAAACCAAATGTAAAATGGAACTTGTAGCGTAATACATTTGACATAATTAATGATGCAGAATGTTAAAAATGAATAAAATTTGGTAAAAACTTTTTCAATACTTCATACAGAATTCTGTACAATATATCTTTGCAATTTTGTTTAAATATATTATTTGTATTCGTTATAACGAGAAGTTATGTAACATTTTTTTACTAATTTGACCAAATTTGATGAAAATTTGGTCAATCTGATTCTGGCCCAATTATTTATATCTGTATCAGTGATGCCGTGAAAGGGATCGATGTGTCAGAAAATATACAAAGCTCCAAACTTTTTTCTGATTGCGTCACTGATCTCTATTCCTTTTACTATGCATTAAGCTCACATGCTCAAAAACTTGTGCAGCCCTCGGCATGGCAGTTAGCAGTTTTATGAACATTATTACTTGCAGTTAAAGTGGTCTGACCCCGACGAAGAAGGAATGGTAAAATTTTTATGTACTGATAAACAGTTTAATGAGGACAGGGTCCGAAATGGTTGTAAAAAATTACTAAAAGCAAGAGGCAGTTCTACTCAGGGTAGACTTGATGGATTCTTTAAAGTACTCTCAACTACACCAGCAAAGAGAAAAAATGAAGAAAAAAAGAATACGCCAAATAAGAGAGGAAAAACTGGAGGACAAGGAAAAAGAAGGGGAAAATAAAGACATACTCGATATATATTTTTCTAATCAATTGATATATTTTGTATTTATATTTATACAAGAACAGTATTTTTAAATTTTTTAATGTTGATTTACACTATAAGCATGTTTATTAATTATTAAAAATTTTGTCTCCAATACCTTTATTTACCTTTCTATGATTTACAAAACAGTGCTTTCGATGCAACTAGTCTAAAAAAAATACTTATTAATAAAATTTCTCACATGTACAAATTGCAATGTCAGTGTGACTATGAATCAGCAACTATGGAAAGAATTTCGTTTAATCTAGAACAGCGGTCGGCAACTGGCGGACAGCGGGAGGTAGAAACGACTGGCAAAAATTTTTTGAAAGTATTACTCAAATTATTTAAAAAATATTTTGTGCCAACCTTATCATTTTTATAGGTTAATAGGTTAATTAAAAAAAACTGGCTCAAGAACGCAAATGTAATTTCTTCCATTGATTTTTGAATACAAATATTCGTATCTCTTGTATTTCATATTATTTTGTGAGTGCAAATTAAAATAAAAAATTAAGGAATATTTTTTTTCTGGGCCTTTTTAAAAATTTTCAAAAGTATGAGTTACGAAAAAGCTTTATGTGGTATATAGCAATATGCAATATGTAAGGGGAAAAGCATGTTAAAGTCCTAAAAATATGACAAACTACACTTACCTTTTTGTAAAGTTATTTTGTTTCACCATTTCAAAGGATCAAAGTTGAGAAAAGATGTAGTTTTTTTTATCAAAATATACCTTGTCAGTTTTAATTTAAATTATATGTTTATACTTGAGTATACATACAGTGCTATTTTTTTAAAACCTGACAAAAACCAATTTTTTTATTTGAACTAATAAGAGTGTTGCCAGATTTCTGCAGTAGCTACTAAAATGATATATTTTTAACTTAATTTGACAAACCTTCAAATTCTAAATAGACAATGCTATGTCACATTTGTTTATTGGAGTAGTCGTTTTAGAACAATCGGCAAAAACAATGAAAATAATCTAGTCGGCAAGAACTAAAAGAAGCTAACAGCAATAATAAGTCTTGGAAATTAAACAAAAATTGTGTTGTTTTAAAGTAGTCATCATTATTGTACTGTCATTGTGTTATTTGACAGCTGTTGAATTTGAATGTGTATAAAAAATGTTTTTCAATTTAAAGGAGTCATTATTGTACCGTCATTGTGTTATTTGACAACTCTTGAATTTGAATGTTTATAAAAAATAACGTTTTTCAATTTAAACAACACAATTTTTGTTTAATTTCCATGGCCTACTATTGCTATGTTAGCTTCTTTTAGTTCTTGCTGACTACAGATTATTTTCGTTGTTTTTGCTGATTGTTCCAAAACGGCTACTCCAACAAAGAAATGTGACATAACATTTTCTATTTAGAATTTGAAGGTTTGTCAAATTATGATTAAAAAAATACGGTGTTGCCATTTAAAAAAATATAGTTTAGTAGCTACTGCAGAAATCTGGCAACACCGGAAAGAATTATTTGTAAATTTTTCTTAGTCAAATTGTTTCCTACAACTTTGCATTTAGAAGTACTTTTGAATTTGCACATAAATATTTAAGATGTGCAATCCTTATTTTAATTTATTCACAAATTTCATTCAAAATTATTTTTTAATGAAACATTTTGTGGGCTAGAAATTATCTTCTAAAAACCTGTATGGGTGCCAATCCTTCTTTATAAAAATGCATCAACTGCAGTTTTCACCAGCCATTTTGAATGAATCCACTTTGTACAAGATTGTATACAGGGTGATTCAGATTTAATCTGAATAACTTCAGGAACAGGTTAGAATAATGTTCATTCATGATATAAACTTATTTCCTAAATCGCATCGTTTCGGAGATAGAGGGTGTTGAAATAGAATTTTTTTTCCCACTTTTCTGTTATAACTTTTGAACCACTCTCATTCGATTGAGGTGAAATTCGGAACACACACTCCTTATGATCTTACATAAGCTTTTTAAGTTTGGACCACCTACCCCTCTTAGAACTGTATTTTGTGTGCTACCCCCTTCCTACATTATTTCAAAAATATTAATTTTGATAAAACAGCTTCACACCACTTTTGTCTCATTAATTTTGAAACTTTTTCGTCTTGTTTTTTTTTTGATATTTGGCCTTGGTTCTAAATGAAATGAAATCCGTGACAGTGTAGTGCCCTAGCCGCGTAAATTTTTTAACCTGTTCTATAGATTCCTGAAATTATCCACATTAAACCTGAATTACCCTGTATAGTCAAAGCGAGAGTAACGGTTTTTTTAAATCTAAATGTTTGGTATAATAAAGTAATTTAATTTCTATTCAAATATTAAATACAGAAGAAACATAGGAAGCCCCTGCTTTGCAGTGTTTTTCCCCTTTTTGTATGTGACAAAACAAATAACCAGTTAAACTCAAAATATTAATAAAAAACACCAAAAACGTAATTAAATCATCACGAGTGAGACATCAGTGAATGCAGAATAATTATAATGATTATGTGCTTGAAAATAATATTTAAAATATTTTTGAATGATGATAAGTCGAAATTGAATTGTGGAATGAAATCTGAAAAGGTTATGAGAGTAAAATAAGACTACAGTAAAAAAGTAATATATTTACCATATAAAATTATTTATAATAAATGTAAATAGGGCTTATCATATAATATTAAATGTATTATTAAACTTCTTATCATTGAAAATATTATACATGTTGTGGAATAACCATTTTTTGTACTAACTGCTGAAATTTATTGTTATCCAGGCTTCGTTTTTTTAAATAGTCTTTCAGTCGAGCCTAAATTAAAAAACTATGTTATTTGGTATCACATAATAAAAATGTAAAAAAGTTGTAAAGTTGATAGTCTTAAATGAGACTATGTATATTTTAAATTATGTAACTGAAATATAGACATATAGATACATAACAGACAAAATTAATTTTGTTAAGTGAGAAATTATGTATATGAATAACTTACCATATGTTTTATATCACCGTAACCATTCTTTAAACTCAACTGCCATAAGTTAAGTGCTAGATGGAAAACGGGGCCACAACTTAAATCTCCTCTTGTCGCTATTCTGATAAATAAATCCACGGCTATTTGCGACTGCCTTCGACAACTACCAAGTTCTTTCAGTAAATTCAAAATTTCACTAATAATTATGGAACACATGTTGTTTATCTCTGATATAAATTTAGGATCAGATCCATATAGGGAGTCATTTGATTCAACTAAAAAACTGATTTCATCACATATCGAAATTAACAACAGTTATAATTCATATTACATTAAAAGAAGTTGTTTGAAAACGTTGAAAATATATTGAGACTAATGAATGGTGAGAAACAGACCTAGCAAAAGTACCAGTACTGTGAATTAATTTTGAGTGTTTTTTTTTTTGTAAATTCAAGTCTTTATTGTGAAAAATTGTATGCCTACATTCTTATTTTTCAAAGTGTTGTCCATTGCTAGCCACTACTTTTTCCCATCTTTCTGGCAGCATATGGAGTCTGCGTCAAAAGATTCAACCCATCATTTGACTATCCACCAATCAATCCAATTTTTCATATTTTCGTAAGATGAGAAGTGCTGCTTAGTCAAGCCATGTTCCATGGATCGGTACAAGTAGTAGTCCGATCGAACAATATCTGGTGAATGTGGCGGGTGGGGTAAAACATCTCATTTCATTTGATTTATTGTGTCGTTGCTCAATTTGCAGCCGTTATTCCTTCAATATATACGGATCAAACGCATCAATTGTGTAAAGTAGTGCTCACTAGTGATGGTTTCATTCGGTTGAAGCAGCTCATAGTACACAACACTAAGCTGGTCCCACCAAATACAAAGCATGAGCCTCAAACCATGAATATTCGATTTTCTGACCTCAGGATTATCATATCGTATCCATTTTTCATTGGCAGTGACGATATGATGCAAAAAAATCCTTTCTTCTTTTGCAGTTGAAGCAATTGTTCATACATGAAAAATTTTTAACATCTCTCGGCTTCAATACTTATGACACCCAACTTCCCTCTAAATCATACCGAGTGCATTTAAACGTTTGGAAACTATTGTGCGATCAACAATCAACGATTCAGAAAGTTTCATCTTGCGCCTGACATGAATCTTGGTCGAGTAATGCTTCCAATTCCTCATCTTTGAACCAAGCGTTCTTTGTTAACTGTATCGAAATCACTACTTCTAAAACGTCTAAACCAATACTCACATGTTTTAATCGATGGAGTATGTTCACCGTAAGTTTTCAACAGCTTTCGTTGACTTTCAGCAGCAGTTTTCTTTGAATTAATAGCATTAGTTAAGCCATCGATTGTAAATCCCTCAAAATTAATTCAATCCTAGTAATTAAAATATGAATTCACAGAATTAAATAATTTAATTGGTTAATAAAAACTAATTAACAGTAATATAGAGAATTAGAAATATTAATTTACCTTTGTCGACGTGATATGGGTAAATTTCTTGTCCCATAACACTCAACATATCTATTACACTGACATATATCGAGCCCAAGCCACACTGCTGTTTGTTCCAATCAAATTCTCTCAATACATTCAGTAAAATTCTTACTAAACTGAGGACTCCCCTTTCAGGATTATCAGGTACTACCAGAAGAGTCGACAAGAAATTTTTTATATATGGTATCAAAAACGTTTCAGATTTTGTAAAGCCATCTTGTAAGGTGGGAATCATCGCAAGTGCTGCTTTAAAACAAGCATCAGCTAAAAATTTAACATATACAGGGTGATTCACAGAGTGTGTTAAGAAAGATAAAGCAAACAAGAATGCTGCAAGTTTGATTTATAGGCTTGTAACTAATTATTATGGTTTAGAAGTTACAGGATGTTGAAGTTAAAGAATGTTAAGTTAAAGAAAACAGAAACAAATATTTCTGGTGATAGTTCAGAAATAAATAAATATTTTTAAAATTTTATATAGAATTATTCTCAATACGTGTACTTTTTCAAAAAGTATAATTTAATGATCTTATTATGATTTAAAAATTAAAATAAATATATATTTATTCATGTTTAAGCTACTATCAAATATAATTTATTATTATTTTTTAACTTCAACTTGTAATAAATTAATATTTGAACATGGGTTTATATAAGCAGGCAAACTTTTAATATTTTTTTTGGTTTAATCCTAATATTTTTTTTTACATGGATTAATACAAGTCACCACAAAAATCGCCCGTTTTTTTACAATTCGCAGAGAACTAAAGAAAATAGATAAAAATGTTTTTGGTCTCAAATAACTCATCGTAAAAAATTAAGATAAGCATAGTTTTTTCAAAATTTTCAAAAATCACCGCTATTTAGGGGTTGAAAAGATGCCCAAAATGAAGAATTGAATGTTACCAATAAATATAAAAACTATTAGCATGTGGATTTTTCTATCGAATGATTCTTAATACAAAGAAAGATTTGACTGAAATAAGCATGTTGAATACACCCTTAAGCGTGCTCAGGGGGTGGAATCATCCCCAAAAATAGAGAATATCAGAAATAATTGTAAAAATATATTAAGATAATTTAATATTAATGCTAATAGTTTTTATATCAATTGGTAATATTCAAATTTTTCATTTTTGGCATTTTTTCAACCCCTAAGTAAAGGTGATTTTTTAAATTTTCAAAATACTAAGTGCTATGCTCATTTCAGTTTTTTACAAGTAATTTGCGACCAAAAACATAATTTATGTATTTGTTTTAATTCTCTGCGAATTGTGAAAAACGGGCAAAAATCACAGGTTTTTTGCGGTCACTCTTTAAAATGTGAATAAATTTAAACATAAAAAGATTTCTTCGCTTATAATTTTCAAACGGATAAAACAATTGAGAAAACCCAACTACTGATTAAAAGCAAAAAGTGTACTTGCTGCTTCTAATGCGGTATGAATAAACTTTGTAAATTTAAAACAGTTAAAACACTTCAAATACAACTCTCTCAGTCCTCTGATCAAATTTAGTGGCTTATATCTCATTAATTAATTATGATTCAGATAGAGACTTATCCACGCCTTGTAGCTCTTGCAATTACAATACCTTGTCCTAAACACTGATTGAATAATGCAACTCTTCCAGATAATAAATAAAGTTCCATTCGAGACTTTTCTGATACTATGGATGGAATTGTAATGAAACAGTAAGCAGCACAAGCTCTTACAAAATCTCCAGTTTTTCTTGTATGTATACCTTTTATTATTTGTCTCGTATTCACTGATAAACAATTCACACACTGAAAGATTTAATAACGATTAAACATAATATTTATTACAATTATGTATTGTAATAGGAATACTATTAAATAATATACTTCTTATTTTTCATCGGATACACATAAATTTCATACAGGGTGTAATTGTAAATGCGGGTTATGTTTACACAGAGGTTGCCTTTGACTTTTAGAATCACATAAGTTTGTTTTCTCAAATTCCACCATGATAACCATTTTTTTTATACCCTACCACTGGACAGGCTAGTGTAGAGCCACACAGCGCGTGCTAGCCGCAATCGGGAGTTACAGCATGCATTTTTGCCAAATCATCCTTCTTGACTCCTATACATGTTTTTTTCACAGTATCACAGAAATTTAACAATGACAAACACACCATACCAAAAAACTAATACAGCATGCAGAATGTCGCGAAAATACATCCTGTATACAAACACCTTATATCATAAAGTGATAAACCGAAAACTGCAATAAATTTAATAAAATGTTCTTGTGTCACTGAATTAAAGAGTGATCGCAAAAAACCTGTGATATTCGACAGTTTTTTCACAATTTGTAGAGAATTAAAAAATATGTACATAAAAATATGTTTTTGGCCACAAATTACTTCTCGTAAAAAACTGAAATGAGCATAGCTTTTAGTATTTTGAAAATTTTAAAAATCATCCCTACTTAGGGGTTGAAAAAATGCCAAAAATTAAGAATTTGAATATTACCAATTGATATAAAAACTATTCGCATGTGAATTATCTTAATATATTTTTTTTTTGGAATTTTTACAATTATTTCTGATATTCTCTATTTTTGGGGAAGATTCCACCCCCTGAGCGCGCTTAAGGGTGGATTTTCTAATTCAACATGCTTATTTCAGTCATGACAATAAATCTTTCTTTGTATTAAGAATCATTCGATAGAAAAATTCACATGCTAATAGTTTTTATATTTATTGGTAATATTCAATTCTTCATTTTGGGCGTCTTTTCAACCCCTAATTAGGGGTGATTTTTGAAAATTTTCAAAAAACTAAAAGTTATGCTCATTTTAATTTTTTACGATGAGTAATTTGAGACCATAAACATATTTTTATCTATTTTCTTTAGTTCTCTAGGAATTGTGAAAAAACGCGCGATTTTTGCGGTGTTAGAGGTCATTGACACTTAGATTCACAAACTAAACAGCATTTAAAAAAAAATAATAAACTTTTGATTAAAAATATAAAAAGATTTTTTTTTAAATATTTCCAATCTATTAGATTTATATATATTTTTCATTGAAATTAGTTTCATGCAGTTGGTTTAAAAAGATAACAGGCAAAACTGATAAGTGTGTTGTAACTGAGCTCCGCAGCAACCCGGTGGTGGCACTGACAAGAGTTTAAGTGTAATTTAAAAAGAAATTATAACTCGAATATATACTCAATCTAAAAAAATCAATTTCAACTCAGTTTTTTGTGGCAACATGTACTATTACCCTTAAAAAAACACCCTCACTTAAAGTTACACCTTGCATTGTTAAAATACCTGTACTAGTTCTGCTAAAACTACATCAATATTAGAAAATGCTCCTCGAGCTTCAACGTAAAAATTAAGTTGCTGTTCAAAATCTCTCCCATAATCAACCCGCCTAACAACGTTACATAAGATTTCTCCAATTTGTTTATACTCATCCTCGGGCGTAAGGGCATTAACTGAATCATGCAAAACACTGCATAAGAACATCAGAGCATTTGTAATTACTGGGTCATTCGTTTTGTGCTCATTATTACACAAAGTTAATATGTTTTTACAAACTTCTACTCTGACTGAATCTTGCTGAAATAGATCCACTAGAGGCAAAAAATTATCCTGAAATTATTATCCTGGACTTTAATTTGATTGACTTTTGTGGAACTGAAATTTAATCATATAATAAATTTGTTACTTACCATAACCAATAACAACTCAAAATCTTGAATATGAGAAACCACTTTTCCTATTATTAGTTTTAGTTCGTTATAATATTTTTCATAACTTCGGTTTGGAGTCATATGATCAATAATGTCCCCCATCATTGCATTGATTTCTCTTGTCTGCAATTTAAAGAACTGTTGTAACATCTCTCTGGATGGATGTTTCAAAAGAAATTTACTTTTTGAAAGTAAAAATTCATAAATCATGAGTGGCGGCTCGTCAGGTTGTTTAATACATAGAAATAAACAGGAATAGTTGCGCGGTGAACAGCTTCTAAAAAAATATTGCTTTCGTTGAGCGGGAACATCAACCTTGGACCATACAACGTATAGTATACGCAAGTGATGCAGATTGAAATCAGTCTGTATTCTGCTTCTCTTCGTAACGTTGTTTATGGCGGTTGTCATGGCAATGAGAGGCGGCCAATACATGATTAAACTACGGCGCGGGGGAATGAGTGACGCAGAAATTGAAACAGCGTCGCCCATCGCCTGCCTTTAACAGTTTATACGATACGCGTCGCCCAGTTCACGTTTGTAACGGTTCTTAGTTAATATTTGTTTTGTATAATAATTGTAGAAATGTTTCCTATGTATGATCCAGTATGTATTTTATTGGAAACGCCATTTTCCAGATGGAAAATTGAAGACAAAAAGGATTTTTTAAATTGCGAGAGACCTGTGCCTTACTCTCGATTTGGAAAAATGGGGAAGTCAAAAGACAACATGTACGTTCGAAAGTTTCGGAAAGAATGTTATTCAGAGTATAAGTGGTTGTGTGTTATGTGGAAGTGTTCATATAAAAAAACTTTTCTGTATGCCATGTTTAATTGTGGGTGTAAAGTCAGGCGTGTGGAATAAGAAGGGAGTAACAATTTTGGAAATGTCACACAAGGTTGTCATAACCACAAAGCTTCTATGGAACATACATGTACGGTGTGCATTAATGTTCGCAGAAGTCCATAAGCCGAACTAATATTTCTATTTTTTATAAAATCTAAATGAAAATCCTTCTCACGAATGTCAGTTTTTCGGTAATATTGTAAATGCAATTAAAAATTTCCAGATTCATTTAAAGCCGTTTGACCTTGACAATTTTCGCCAACGGCGCTTTTTTTTCTTTTTAGTCAATCAATGAGTATGCTTCACCTATTCTCATTGTCACGAGCCGCCACTGTAAATGATTCTTTGCTATCTACAGGAGATGGTGAAATATCACTGTGGATATGGAAAAGAGCTTACTCCGTGTTTTTTTTTTATTCGAAAAATTATTTCAAAAGAAACTAGATTTATAGTCAATAGAGATACATTTATAAAATTAATGTGATAAGCTGCTTCTAGCAAATTGCTGAGACCAATTTTAAGTATGACTATAATATAGAAATAAATTGTGTATATTTAAGTACTCACAGTAAAGTACTGAACAACGTATGGGACCCAAGCCTCCGTACAAGTTATATATTCTCTAGGATTATCCAACTGTGAAATATCCTTCCAAACGACATTTAAAATATATCTTCTTTGGTCTGTTGGTGGTGGACAAACAGTAACACATAACCCTAATGTCCTTAACAATAAATATAGTGGAATGCCATCGTCAGAACATTTGCCTATCATAGCAAGAAATTCTAAAGTTCGTTCTGCTATGTATGTTGGTTTAAATCCCGACATGATTGTATTCAGTATTAAAGAACTAAAAGGTTATGTTGTTATAAAAATTAAAATAATTAAAGAATCAGTAGGGAAATTTACCTATTACTATAATCATGACATATGTTAAGAATATCTGTTAATACAGTATCATTAACTTTACAAATTGCACCATTTAAAATGAAATCCAAAGCTGGTGTATACAAAGTCATATATGTAGATATATGCATATTTTGTTTATATATTTCTTCTTTCACCTTTCGACTAAATATCTAAAATGAAATAAGCATAAAGGTCCTGTTTCTCGTTAAAAACAATAGGCAACTATAACGCAACAGCAACACAACTATGGTTTCTGTTGTGTTTCTTTTGTGTACTAAGCGGAGTTTTTGAAGTCGGTTGAGAGAAATGGCATCCTCAGATTAAAAAAAAAAGCTGCTGCAACTTGCCACATGTAAAAAGATACCCAAATATTGGATTAACTCCTTTCATATGATAAATTTGAGACATAGCTCTTACAGAGCATAGTAAGAATTAAATCATGCTTCTGTTCAATTTCACCAACCATATGTGCAAGCATATAATTAACATGGAATACTGTGATATGGCTATGTACGCATGTATAATAAGTGTATCAAGCCTTGTGCACAACTGTCGGTACATTTCAGTTTCTCTCGGGAATATCAATACGAAGGGAAGAATTATTACTACTACAAGTTATTTTTTTTACTGCTTACTACTCGTATTAAAAAAAGAAAATAGATAGACGTCACTTTTTAAATCTCTTTTAATTTCTATATATTTTGATATTTTAGCATTTTTTAAATTTAATTTCAAATATTCTTTAGACTTTAATATAAAAATAACTATAATAATTTATATAATTCTGTGAATTATACAGGGTGTCCCGTTCTTGTTTCAAAAAAACTTGTGTGCAAGTTCCTCATGGAAAAATAATAGGGGTAGTTCATGTAAAGTTTTTTTCTTAGACGCCCTGTTTTCAAGATACAGTGTGTTGATGTTGTTACTTTCCAAATGGTTTTCCTTAATTATCTTTAAATCGGCTAAAAATAAAAATGTCAAAATTTGTACACGAGTAAAAGCATCAACTGTGCGTTAAGAATAATGTGCAAACGGTTTCTTTCTGAGAAGCAGTGTCGCCGATACAGGTAATTTGAAGGGTACAATTGAAAAAAAAAATATGTTAAAAGTCAAAATTGATTACATTTCTAAACAGTTCTGTAAACTCTAAGGCATACTGCAAAAAAAAGGTACACTTCGGTAGCATCTACCATTTTCGAGAAAAATGAAGTTGCATAGAAGGAAATGGAGGACAATTTTAGTATCTACTGTAGTAGAGTTTGCACATTTATTTAATTGTACAGCTGTTTTGTTCTGTATGTCTCTGAGTCTGTTTCCTAATATTTTTATGTTTTTATCACTATTTTTTAAACATCCAACAACAATTTACTCCATTCAATAATTGTTTATTTTAGTAATGGTAGTGTAGTAGTTTACAAAATCTAAAATTAGTTAATAATAGATAATTTACTACCATAATCTGTTTATTTTGATTTACTTTTTTAAATGTTAATTTACAACAAACTGAAACTTAAAATAAATTTTAATTTTTTTTTTATTTAATAAAATGTTTTACAATTTAACTGTTTCATGTGATAAGTAAGAAATTAAAATTATAGTCTTAAATGCAAATACTGTTGGTAGCTAATGTCTTCAGCTCATTCAATGGTAAGGTCCTCTTTCAATTTAATATATTTTGTTAATGTACTTGTGCCGCTTTATGTGAGCAAAAAAAATACAACTTCATTTTTCTTGAAAATGGTACATGCCACCAAATTTCGATAAGTATACCTTTTTTTTTGTAGTATCCATTACAGTTTACAGAATCGTTTAGAAATGTAATAAATTTTGACTTTTAACATATTTTTTCTTCGATTACCTGTATCGGCGACACTGCTTTTCAGAAAGAATCCATTTGCACATTATTCTTAATGCACAGTTGATGTTTACTCGTGTACACATTTTATCTTTAGCCGATTTAAAGATACTTAAGGAAAACCATTTGGAAAGTAACAACTGTATCTTGAAAACAGGGCGTCTCAGAAAAAACTTTATATGAACTACCCCTATTATTTTATCATGAGGAACTTGTACACAAGTTTTTTTAAAACATGAACGGGACACCCTGTATAATAAATTACTTATAATAAAATCGTATGTTAAACATTTTTAAGGAAATATCTGAGAAAAAACAGATAAAACAAAACGTCTACATGTGAACGATTTAATGCACAGCTTGTATGCTCTATGTAAACCAAATTTGTTTGTTTAAACCAAATCTCATTTTTAACGTGTGCATTCATAAAAACAACAAAATTTAAATGTTTAACTATCATGATGTATTCCGAACCAAATTTGATTGAAAATTGATGACTATAACTGAAATATTAGCACGACTATAACTACTATTATGTCGCATCGCTGTCACGTTACAGTTGTTGGTTACTTTTGGTGAAAATACTGTCTAATAGAATAAAAATTTATGTAGTGTATACATATCAAGTATCAGTGGCGATGAGTCTTAACAAAGATTTCTAAATAATATAAATGTAATATAAAATAGTTGCTTAATTTCAATTATTACTTTTTGATCTGAGAGTATAATCTTATAGGTAGTCTCAAAATGTCATTAATGCATAACTTACATGCTGATACGAGTCCAGAAACCCAGTAAAATTATTTATTAAAAAGTTGCAACTATCTCTTTTGGGAGAAACATTTATTCCTACTCTACAAAGATAGCACCTTGCATATACTGCCACTAAAGGGTTTCCCATACCCTGTATCATGTCTGTTATTCTAAGGAGAGCCTCTGGACAGTCACTAAAATATATTATTATTTTGGATGATGTAACTGTGTGATTCTACACTTACTTAAATGAAATAAAATTATATGATTTTAATAAAGCCATTTCAACGTATATTCGTGGTATAAGTTCTCTAATAGAAGCAATTTTGTAGAACCAATTCAAACACGTTTCTTTAGCTGACTGAGGTACCATGTCGGGAGTAAAATCTTCTGGTAAAGGAACAGGTTTATTGGATCCAGGTCTAAAATAAGATTAATATTATGGATGTTAATTTTAAATGTGTTTTAAATTCATTTTTTTAAACATATTTCTTCAAAAAGTATGTGGTTTTATATAATGAATAAATAATTTGAAAAAAATAGTTTAATTAAATCAATTTAAAAAAACAAATATTTACTTATAATAATCCGCTTTCATCCTCAACCTATCATAAACAAGTTTTCCAAATGTGTCCAATATATCTGTTACAAGAACAAATTTACTTGGATAAAATGGCAAAACATCAGTGTCTGATAACAATTTCGCACACTGTATTGCGATTTTTAATGCTTTTACTCTTTGTTCAGAGTTCCAAGCAGACACTAATTCTTTGTTTAATTGCTCAATTCTGCTAACATATTCCGCTTGTGAGAGATCTATTTTTCTTTGAGATCCCTCTTCAAAACAATCGAGTTGCTCCAATCTATGCTGTACCTTGTCTACTGCAGTACTTTGAGCTTTCACCATTACTGAAACGTAATTTGATATATATGTATGATATCGTAATGTGTTCAATTTTAATATACGTAGATAATGTTTTCATAGTATATACCTTTTTCTCCTTCAGATAAAAAACTTGTAACCATTGACAATTTTTCAGAAGTGGTATATTTCGAAAGTATAGCCGTCTTTCTCGTTGACCAGGGCTCCATACTAGCAAAATCATTATCGTCTACAGTTTTGGACGATGAAGATTTTGAACTATCCGTGATATCCTAAAATAAAGTTTCTTAAATAGTAATAATTAGTTTATGTGATCCCTAAATGAACTGGATTAATATTTATTTTTATATCACGTAACAGATAAACTGATGTGATTTTATTGTTCGTGAGCATAAAAAAACCTGTGTGTGATAAGATTGCACTTAATGCCTAAAAATCGGACTATTTGATTTCTAGTTGTGGAAAATAATTTTTGATACATTATGGTGTTAATTTATATTATTTTTATAATAGAATATTTTTATTTACCATTTCTGCAGCCATTTTTGATAAAGGATCCATTTCCTGCATAGTAAATTCTGATAAAGGATCTAGTTGTTTAAGAGCAAGAGCTAACGGTTCCAAAATGGATGCTGGGGTGGAAACTGGAGTTGTGCGGCCTGTACTGGGTTGCGACCCAAAAATTCTTCTAGGTATTCTCTCAGTTACCTTTAATAAAATGATGAGATTAGAACTATATTCCGGAGTAAATTTAACAAATTTAAATTGATGTGAATGTATATAAGCATTAAAATAAAATAGAATATGCCCTAGGAATAATTTTACAAATTTTCAGTTAAAAGTTTATTAAGAAAAACATACATACCATAACAACTTTAAGTGGATGATCATTCACTAAAATCTTATCCAGAGAATTAGTTTTTATATTATAGTCGGTGCAGATTTTCCTAAAATATGAAATTGTCAAAAAAAACTCATGATACCATATCATACATACCATTCTACTGAATTCAGTGCCATTTTTGTGTATATGAGGTTAAATTATTACTATTTTCTAAAAGAGAAAACCAATATAATTAATTTTAGGGCAGTTTCCAGCGTGACTTTTTACTTATTTTTCAAAGATGGTATATTTTATATAGACCTCAGAAAATATTTTTACTTGGAGGTAACTGCTGGAATTTTATTTTAAATAAAAATAAAATATTCCTATGGACTTTATGAAGTGGTTTGCTCGATGAAAGACGGAAACAATATGTAAATTTTAAAATTACTGTAAAATCAAGGAAAATTAGTTTCAAACGACTGTTATGTGATATTCACTGAAAACATACTAAAATCTAAACTGATGTAACATTTCTAACTATTGTATAAGTAATGTTCTAACTCTAACATTTAGAAATCAGTATGACTTAGACTCGGAACTAGATATTTCGAGAGGTGGTTTGGTTATACTAATGGTTTTTTAACATGCTAACTCTGAGTTTAATAATGACACCTCCTTAGTATATAATTCCCTACATTTTAATATAGATTTTGCAATTTATTCTAATTTATAACAATAAAATTACTTTATCAAAAATTCATGATAAATTTATAATAGAACAGGGTGATACATTTTATCTTTAAGATTTTATAAACCAATTGAATTAAAAACTCACTTTGACCAAATTAAAAGCCTTCACGCTCTTTCTTTAATTATTACAAGTATATTTACTTTTTACATTTGACACGAAATAGTTACATTTATCAACAGTATCATAGATTGAATAAATAATAATTTGACAATATTGATGACAATATCAATATAACCTACATAAAACACGAGAAAAAGAACTACTGCTTTACATTGTACTTTGAACTACTGGATTAAAGAACTACTTTGATGTTTTTTAACCTCAATGTTCAATATTTAAATTTGAGATGATAAGATAAATTTATATATTTACATCACATCTGCAAATTTTTTGCACGATGTAGTAGTGGCAGTGAACTAAAGAATGTATCCCTATCATATTCTAATTATTTTTAGCCTTTTTCTGTTTCTCCATGGATTTTTTCCTATAACGAGATCGACTAACAATATTAGCTATGGACCACCCACTTATATTAATAATATTAGTTTGAATCCTCAAGTATATACATCAGATATTCAAAAAACCGTTTTAATTATAATTGACGCTTTACGATTGGATTTTGTCAATACAAATTATATGCCTTTAACAACCCATATTACTAAAGAGAATGGATGCTTCAATACTATAACAGTTGAAACCCCAACAGTAACTTTACCTCGTATTAAAGCTTTAACTGCTGGAAATGTTCCCCAATTTATAGATTTGGTGTTAAATTTAGCTAGTACTGAAATTCTTCAAGATAGTTTAATTCATTCATTGTTCAAGATGGGAAAAAGAATTGTTTTTTATGGTGATAATACTTGGTTGAAATTATTTCCACATTTTTTTACTAGATATGAAGGTACAAGCTCATTTTTTGTAAGAGATTTTAAAGAAGTTGATGACAATGTTACAAGAAATGTAGATACTGAACTGAAAAGAAATGACTGGGACATGATGATTCTTCATTATTTGGGTATGAACATATGCAATTTCTTTACTTAAAATAAAAATATTTTGCCTAAATGTTACAGAGAATTCCAGAATAAAATATAAGAACAGGATATAGCAATTAGTTACATTACATTCATTTTTGTAGGTTTGGACCACATTGGACATGTTTATGGCCCGTTTTCTTCTCATATTCCAGATAAACTAAAAGAAATGGATGAAATAATCTATAATATTTATAAAAGTATATCTAAGCAAAATGAGAAGACACTGTTAATTGTTACAGGGGACCATGGGATGAGAGACAGTGGAGGTCATGGAGGATCATCGTATTTTGAAACACATGTTCCCTTACATGCTATTGGACTTCAGTGCACTAATGGATCCTTTTTTCAAACTGATATTCCTGTTAACTTAGCAGTATTATTAGGTTTAAATATACCTTCCACGTCTATAGGCCAAATAAGATCAAATTTACTTCCCGTTTCATTAGAAAAGTACCTGTATATTTTAAGATACAACAATTTATTGCTAATAAATAAAGCAAAATTATGTGAAGATAGTTTTTTGTTGGCTACTAAATTTCATGAACTGTATATAAAAGGCTTGGAAGAAACACACGCTTTAAAAGCTATTGACCTTTATAAAAATTGTTCAAATTCTATTAGTAAGTACTTGATAAAGTCCTCAGTAAAGCAAAATTTCAATTCTCTAATAATTTCTATATTGATTATGTTTAATTCCCTTGCAATTTTAATCAAATATTTACTTACACAAAAATATGAAAAGGTATTATTTAATAGTGTAGAATATGTGACTTATTTAGTCATTATTTTTATACAGTTCATTTCATCCGAGTCTATCCATTCCGTAATATTTATGATAATATTAACACTTCTTTTAATGAAAAATTTAGTATCATTTACTAAGATTAAAAGTAAATATCAAACTTATGAAGATGTCTTAAAACTGTTAATTTTGATCAGCATCTTTCATCCCCTTACATTTTTTTCTTCGAGTTTTGTAGAAGAGGAACATCAGTACTGGTACTTCTTTTTTAACGTACTTGTAATGTATATAGTTTTATCAAAAATTAGGCAACTGAAGAATTTATTTATCTACTTAGGTTTATTGAGTAGTTTAAGATTTTTACGCACTATTAATTCTACAGGTGATAAATGGGGTAGTTATCCAGATCTATCCGACTGGCTGTTAAAAACTCATAACTATAGTTACTATCAACTTTTTTTTATATTTGGATTAATTGCAACCTTTTTTACATGCGTATTGTTGAATACAAAGAAGGTTAAAATGCACATATTAAATTTGATTATTCTGGTATGTATATTTGCACTGAAGAGTACAGATTATGAAAATGTATTATTAGGAAAATTTATTTGGTTTTTAATATTAATTCAAACAATATTTTTCTGTGATTGTCCAAAGATATTTATCTGGATTATTATTTCATCATTGTTATTAAAACCTTATAATGTAGTTTTAATTTCATTCTGTATACTAACTTCTATGGCTCTTTTAAAAATTTTTCAGAACAGCACAATAATTACAATTTGTCACTTTTGGCTAAGTAACACATTATATTTTGCTCAAGGCCACAGCAACAGTTTAGCAAGTGTAGATGTATCCGTAGGATATATTGGTTTAAACGAATATCAACCTATATTAGTTATTTTTCAAGTTTTATGCCATACATACTCTTTTCCAGTTCTATGCCACTTTCTAATATTGCAAAATAAGAGTATCGACAGTAATAGAGTGTGGACAATTTTGTTCTGTAACCGTTTGTACATTACGGTTATAACTTGTATAATCACTGTTATCTTTAGACATCATTTATTTATATGGTCAGTTTTTGCACCAAAATTATTTATCGAGTCTGTACATTTAATGTTTCTCTTTATAGAATTGAGCATCTATTTTTGTTATAAATATCTTCAATCATTTTTAAAAATGTTTATACAAATAAAATTATGAAAATAAAATGATTGAAATACAAACCAATTTTTTTTTATTTCAATTTATTAAGCATAACTTCAGACATTCATATTTATATTTGTAGCTTTATAATTTGCTGTTATACTGTTTAAAGAGTTTATAAAAAGATCTTAATCTTAACTAAGCTGTAACTTTAATCTCAAGTTCTAGGCGAATTGCAATACTTCTACCGTTTTTGTGAAAAAAGAATGTGCATCTTAATCTTAAGAACTGGTCAATCAATATAGTGCACTTTCTTTTTGCATATATATGTACTTGCTCTGATCTTAATTTTAGTCCTAGTTAAAAGATGTCAAATTTTAAAACTTTCTCAGTTATGACGCTATGACTAAGGTAGAATTTTTATAAATCAGTAAATTGAAATTTGTATGTTTAATTTTTTAGGGCAAAAACTAAGGCTACCTTGGGCTAAAACTTTTTGATGAACACTATAAATTATATAGCGTTTTAAGAAAAAATCAGATTTATTTAAAGAAAAATTAAAATGTTTAGGAAAAAATGGTCGTCAATTTTAATCTAATTAATCTTCAGGCTTATCTGGCGGTGGTCCACAAGGTTGTAACATTTTCTCCATCAAGTTAAATTTCACTCTTGCTTTGGCTTCATTTTCACATATAGCAATATAATTTATTAGGTCTGGATGACCCAGATAACTAGAAAAACTATCTCTATGTTGATTTACTAGCCACTCGTATTTGGTAGTGTCAGCATGACCTGTACCAATGTATTTGGACTGCAAATGCTCTAACTGGCTATGAATATTATATCGATCTCCCATTTCTAAAAACAGAACAGTTCATACTTATTCAAAATTCAAATATGTAATCAATTTCAAGAATACTCCCTACTTTCTATGCGGTTTTCTAATGCTGCTCTGGTTTTAGATTTTAATTTTTGTTTTTGTTGTTTAATAAAAAAAAATTGTATGTGAGGCACAGAATGTGTCTGATCTGAGATTAAATTAACACAGACCCACAGAACATCCCTAACTACACTGACCTAAAGATCACTGGATTACTTTACTTGCGCTGGGTTGCGTTCAATACTGTACAGATTGTATGTAGAATCGTTTAGGATTATATTAATGAGCACTTAATAAATTTATTTGTCACTTAAATATTGCCAGTGGTATTTTAATTTTCGTTACAACAATGTCAGCAGTAGAACTAGACCGTAATTGATATCGGTTGTAGAATAAAATATGTAAATTCCACATAAAATTCACTAGTAAATAGGTGTAGGTTAGTTGATACATTGACGCTATTAAGATTTTGAACGTACTTCAGCCGTTATGTCATGTGACTAATAGTGACCAATCGTTCGTTAACAATTCCAGAAAGTGACATTTGGCGCCAGGGACCTCAAAAAAAAGAGGTAATTCAACGGCAAAATAGAAAACAGAAACAGAACACAGCTGTAGTGGGTGCATGGTGTACGAAGCAAAAGCAGTTATAAAATATCTCACTAATTCTGACTTTTTGTACGCCTTTTATTTGTGAGGTAATAATGGTTATAAATAAAACGTAAAAGATATAGTTATTTCAACAAATGATAGGCATATTAGTGTTGAGAGAGGTAATAATTTCAAGATATATTTTAGTAGTTAGACTTTTATGTGCTAATATTTTATCTCGTTACTAATTTAGTTGCTTCCGTATAATGCGAATTTATATATACATGGTAATAGCAATCACTTCTTAGTTAAGTTTATCTTATCGATTGAAGAAATACTAATTCTTAGGTTCTCAAAGTTCTAGTAAATGATGGATTCAAGGAAAGGGCAAATCAGTACGCATTACGAACATACATCACATGTTTTAGAGAGGAGAAGATCTCTTTTTCCGTCAGATATAGATTCAGAGGAAGACTCTGACTTGGGGCATATTAGCCCCCTTCATTTTGATTCTGACTTGGAAGATATTAATTATCTTCAACAAGAAGATAACGGGTTGCTATTATCTAGAACAGATACTATAGAGGACTACGATATATTAGGAGTAGTAGAACATATCCAAGGTTCTATTTGCACTCCTATAAATGCAAAATATGCTTGTTCGGAAACAATGTCTCCCTTATATATAAGTCCTTGTATGAAATTCAGTGAAAATACGGTTGTAAATGAAACTCCTTCTAAAATATCCCCTATTTATAAACTTAAGACCCCTCACGATACCTGTAATACAAATTCAAAACTTCCTAAATTAGTCCGTAAATCTCTTTTAGATTCATCAGAAAATTCATTAAGTAAACGACAGTTGTCCCCCCTTAATTATCCAGAAGAAATCAAGAACAAGACTAAACATTTAAAAGTAGATCCCAAAAATTCAAAAGTTCGCACTACCTTATTTCCTGAAGTAGATATTTCACTCCCCACTAAAAGTTTTTACCCTAAAACTGAGAGTATAATGGATAAAGTACAATCGAAAAATAATATATTTAATAAGTCTCCAGTTTTAAACAATTCAACAAGGAAAATTAGAACACGCAAAAGAATTGGGCAAATAAATGCTGGAGTACATCATAAAATTAGAAAACCCAAACAGAAATCTTTGAATAGGGTGTCTCTAGTTAAGGCAGCTATAAATGCAGTTAATAACTCTGCTATAAATGAGTATATAAAAGATTTGAAACAACTTAATATGCCTCAAAATGAACATATTCCGTTAATCGAAAATAAAGAAAACAAAGATCCAAGTCCAGCATCTAAAGTTGTTGATCAGAAATTTTCAGCTCCTAAATTAATTGAAACTAAAACGTTTGCTGATGCATCGAAACTGGAAACATGTAACACTAAAAAACGTCCTCTAAGCCCTATTTCAGAACCAGATCCTAAAAAGAAATTTTTTAAGCTTTCAAGAGCAAAAGGTGTAGTTACAGTGAATAAGAATATTAAAGTTCAAGTAGATCATGGCAAGATGACTCTAATTGAAAAAGGAAAGAAGAAGAAATCTCAAAAAATTGATTATGATTCGTCAGACCTTACTGTAGACGAACCTCTCCTGCCTAATATAGACAGCATCTTGTCTTCATTGGAAAATGATAGCTGTGACATGAAAGAAAACAGTTCGAAATTAATACTTCAAGCACACTGTTCTGTATCTGCTTCAGAAAACTCTATTTTGCTACACCCCCAGCCAGCGCAATGTACTGCAAATCTTATTTTATCACCTATATCCCAGATGTGTGATGTAACTTCGGGACTAGCACTAAACAGCCCAAAAAAAGTAAAAAATCTTACTTCGATCTTGAACGAAATGCCCTCTGGAACACCTGGTAATGTAGATGATGCAAATATTTTCGATAAACAAAATTCATCTAATGTTGTGAAACAAAAATTGTTTCCTATATTCTGTAGTAGAAATATCGCTATTCCTGAGAAAAAGGAGAGTAAAACATTCACTCGTACAGCAAAAAGGTTCAAGAACTTGGAAGAAAGCCAGATGCTTATTGATGCTGGTCAAAAGAAATTTGGTGTAACCCAGTGTCTAGAATGCAATATAGTTTATCATATTGGTGATCCCAGTGATGAAAATATGCATTTAAATTACCATAATGCAGGACATGTGCTGAAATTTTCTGTAAGTATAATAAAAAAAAACAGGCATATTTGAATTATTAGAGTAATAATAATAATAATAATCTGTGTTTTAAATTTTTAATGAAGAATGAATCACTTGCATGCTTCTGTTTAGATTTGGAATAATTTAAAAACATTTACTATCTTCTCTCAAATTATATTTTGTCTTTATTTCCACCATACATAATCTTGCCAAACTCTGTACTTAGTGCTTCAGTAGGTGCAATTGCTGGAATGTCTAGAATAAAAATATTGTAAACCATTCTTTGACATCTACAATTTTTTTTTAAATTACCATCAGTTAGGTATAATCAAATTTAAAAAACTATGTTTTTTGGCATTTAAGGGCTGGAAAAATGAAAAAGTAGTTGCTGATTTTCATAACAATGGCCGAATTATACAAATAGTTCCAGGTGACTCAAAAATTTGGTGGAAGAAAGTTAAAGATTTAATGGATGTAATAAACCGCGAACTAGGATGTTTTGAATTGGAGTTCAGTCTTGATCATTGCCAGGTAAATTCTTTTGAAAGTATTTTTTAAATATTCCATGAATTAACATGGTAAATCTCTAGTAACTAGTAACACAAAATATTGATAATAAATTGCATTCAAAAGGAAATTTGATAGTTTAATACTACTTAAGGTGAAAGTTTGTTTTTGTTTATTTGTTACCGGTGAACTGACATAATTTTTTTTAAATGAAGCCCTTGAAATTTAAACCTACTGGTGGCTATTTCCTAATTCAGGAGAAACCATATTTGGAAACTCCATATCTCCCAGTATTTTCAAAACAGAAACAATATTTACTTGAAAAAAATAGGTATTATTTTCTTCTGGAACGATATTTAAAACATTAAGGCCCGGTACTTTGAGTCTCGGTTAAAGGTTGATTAATTGATCAGGCGATTACAGTGTACATTTACTGATTTATTTTATGAAGTATAATCACAGTCTAATCGCTTGATTAGTTAATCAAGCCTTAACTGAGACTCAAAGCACCGGACCTAAATGTAAGGTAACTGGAAATTCTTTCTATTTTGACTGTACTGAGACAGAAATAGAATGTCCCCAAAGACACTCTCCTGGTTCACTTGCGAACAGTAGAAATAAATGGCTGCCATGTGTTTCAGAAAGTTTTAAATTCCAGTGAAACATATTTTTTATTTGTAATAAATAAATACCAACAGAAAGTTTATCATATTTTGTGTCAAGTTCTATAGTATCAAGTCATTGAAATGATTTAATTGGACCTTTAATCGTCTGCTTCATGAAAATGATTGCATTTAAAAAAATGTTTTGCAATGTTACAGCCCTGATAGACAAGGCGAAATCGGCGGCTTCGTATGAAAAAATTAGTGGATTCGATTTTTTTGCATAATCACCTCCGTGAGATGTCCCTGAATGAGGATCAAATTGTTGCCGGCCGGTAACCTGGTCACAATTTTTTTAAACTAATTTTTTTTAAACAAATTGCAAAAATAACTTGTTTTGCTCCGGAAAAAGTTTTATTAGGTATTTCTGGGTATTCTAAACAAAATAGTTCCTATGCACTATGCTCCTAAAGTCAACTGAGTTATAAACAATTTAATGTACGAAAAAATGCAAAAACGGCCATTTTCAAGACTCAAAAACAATAACAAAAGATCAAGTTTTTGATGTTACTAAAGTTTAAAAGTAATCTTTAAACATCTCTTGACAAAATATCGAGGAGTTATTTGGTGTAATTACATTGCAATGCGTATTATTTTACCTATTAACAATATACATTTTGACTTGCGCGCCGCGCCGCTCGGGCACTCCACTCTGCGCCGACCTCGTGTATATATTCATCACCTCACTTTTTGATACATTTTAGCAATGCTGAATTTTTATTTATTAAAATTATTTTTTGTTTATTGATATTATAAATTTCTAAACAGTAACAATAATAATAATAACAATAATAATATATCTACTTTACTTAAATAATATCTAATTTTGAATTTGCGAATATCGCAATGAAATTCCCGCGCCGCTATAGGTTAAATATTTTTTCTCGAACGTGTGGAATGGGTATAAACTTAGGAAATATTCCATGTACTTCTGATGTCTTTAAACTACACGTATTAAGAGCATAATTGCAAACGTATATTTGGAAAAATTCAATATACCTACTCTAAATACCAGACGTTGAATATCGAACATTTCGGTTACAAAATTTCGGAAAATGGTGCAGTATTACCCATGTTTATGTTAAATAACACCTGCTCGATTGATGTAAATGTTTGAAAACATGTAAAACTAAAGCATGTAGTTGTAGAAAAAATAATGTTACTTGTGTTACTTTATGTGGTTGTAATGCAGACGAATGTGAAAATTTTATCCTTAAATAAATATATTTATAAGTTTAAGACATTTTACTCTTTATTTTTTATTTATTTTAAAATATATGTCGAGATATATGAAAAAGTGAGGCGCTGACGGGGTCGGCGCACAGTGGAGTGCCCGAGCGGCGCGGCTCGCAAGTCAAAATGTATATTGTTTATAGGTAAAATAATACGCATTGCAATGTAATTACACCAAATCAGTCCTCCGTATTTTGTCAAGGTATGTTTAAAGATTACTTTTAAATTTTAGTAACATCAAAAACTTGATTTTTTGTTATTGTTTTTGAGTCTTGAAAATGATCGTTTTTGCATTTTTTTGTACTTTAAATTGTTTATAACTCGGAAACCGTTGATTTTAGGGGCATAGTGCATAAGAACTATTTTGTTTAGAAAAAAAATTAGTTTAAAAAAATTGTGACCAGGTTACCGGCCGGTAACATTTTGATCCTCATTCAGAGACATCTCATGGAGGTGATTATGCAAAAAAATCGAATCCACTAATTTTTTCATACGAAGCCGCCGATTTCGCCTTGTCTATGACAATGTCGCTGATCTGTCATTTCAGATATTTCTATACATTAAAAGTCGCAGTATAATTGGCTGTGTTGTAACAGTTCCAAAGACAGAAGGACACAGAATGTTAACTTCAAAACAAAATGAGGCGGATATGTGTTCTGAAGAAAATTATCCAATAAAATGTGGTATTTCACGTATATGGGTGTCCCATAATTACCGAAAACAAGGGATTGGTTCAGCTTTAATGAATTGTGTTAAGAAAAATTTTATGTTCGGTTACATTCTTGATAACAATGATATAGCTTTTAGCCCTCCTACCGAACAAGGGAAAAATTTTGCCAAAAGCTATTTTAAAACGCCAAATTATTTAATATATTACGTGTAATTGTTAGGATATATATTTAAAGAAAGTGCCTTATTGTCAGTATTATGACACTGTTTTTACTCGTAGTACAACTTATGCCATAACTGTATATTTATTCTTTAATAATTTAATATATTTTTTGTATTTTTTTTTGGGGAGGATTTTATATTAACACTAGTGAAGGAGTGGAATCTCCAAGTTATTATTTTGCCATATTCAACATTTATCTATCTATTATATATGATATTGATATATGATCTGTGTGTTACAACTATTTATTTTTGTAGGAAGAGAGTATTTTTATATTGTAAGCAGATTAAATAAAAAGTAATTGATTGTAACTTTGGTTTTATTCAGTTAATTCCTTTTATATGTACTTATATTTTATATAATTGCAATTACGAAGTGTTCCTTGTTATGTGGAAATGGAGCAATTGCACCAAATTTGATTTTTTAATAAAGTCGTCAACAGCGCTCTGCAACTGAACAATTTGCTGGCCTTTCAGACAAAGTATTGCAACTGCATTTTACGATGGCTAAAATAACTTCATATGTACTCGTATACTGAATATCACCGTTAATATACTGATACTTCCATATGTTATTTTGTTCATTTGTAGATAGTTCAGAAGATACATACAGTGTATCAGCCAAATGGAATAAACTCAATAATAAATAAATGAGGGTGTGTCCAAAAAATCTCTCAGATTGGTATTTTTAGTTGTGTATTTTTTTCAACAAATGCTTTTTATACAAGGTGTGTCATGTAACAGTGGTCAACCTTCTGTAATTTACTTTTTGTTTTGTGAATTTTTTGAATAGATTGGATTTAAAAATGACGGTTGTATGTAGTAGCGAGCAACGACACCTTTTATTCAGCAGGCTATATGGCTAGAAAGAAAATTAACAGACGGTCTTGGAACAAAAAAACAAAAAGCTGCATAACCATATCTTCAGTTCAGAGTTACCGAATCTTATACAGGGTGGTGATAATTCAATACCGAGTTTGGTCCACTGGAAACCATCTAAACTTGATTTTTTGTAATGGAACACCCCGTATATTTTTTCAAATTTGGATGTGCCATTTCTATTTCCATCCATTTACGTTTTGCCTATACTTATCTCTTCTAGTTTTTATGTTATTTGAAGTTATTTGGGTACTCTACTGAAATATATTAATATTATTATTATTACCTATTATTACTTAACTGCGAGGGTGGCTGTGAAAATTCGAAAAAATATACTGGGTGTTCCATTGCCAAGAAAAGTCGTTTCCAATGGACCAAACTCTGTATTGAATTATCACCACCCCATACAAGAATCGGTAACTTTGAAGATATGGTTATGTAGCTCAGGTATTTAGCTCCTACTCCTGCAAATACTGTTGCTTTATCTGTCTAACTGTAGAATGCGCACGGTTTTAAAGTAGGTTCTGATTTTCAATTTTTTTCGAAAACGGATAATTTTAGGAATAGGGAAATTTGATGAAAGTCACTTTAATAAAGCGTAGAATCCAAAAATGAAAAATATATAATGATTCATTTAAAATAACAAAGTTTTAATGTCAACTTCCGGTATAACCAGAAGTGTTACAAAAACCCTAGTGTGCCAATTTTCAAAATTTAAATCGAAGTAGGTTCTGAAATAATCTAATATGTCACTCATTTTGAGCCACCCGGTATATTAAAAGCTAAGAAACATCGTATGGGCATTAAAATATATTAGCAATTATTGTTGATTTAGTGAACATAAAGATATTGAAAAGAGACGAAAAATTTTACATTAAATTGTTAATAAGGAAAATTGTTAATCAAACCCCTAAGATGTTCCCCGAATTATGTTATTGCGAAGCTCTCTAACTACAAAATTTTAAGTCAATTGAAAACTTTCGAGTTATGTTTCCGGTCAGTTGAAAAAAGTGGTTCCTCGAAAAACGCTTTTAAAGTTTTTGTTAGTATTCAGCAAAATTATATGTATACCTTCAATGAAAGATGCCTGCACCATATAATTGACCTTCTACATTGACATTTTCTTCATCCTCTTTTTTTCGGCTTGATCTAAGGCTCAATGTGGCCTCTACATACGCGTGTTCTCGCGAGTTACAATAAGCGTTCCTACGCTGCGCTGCTAGTAGTTGCGCTCCACCTTGAAAAAAACTCGTGTTCCCGATTTTTCCCACACCTAATCCTTTTTTTTATGTTCTTGACAATAAAGCATACTTTAAACCGTTTATTTAAACATTTTGAATATCGTCTGTAAAATTATTTGAGTAAATTCTACATTTACCTACACGCAAAAAAAAATTCTTAAATCAAGAATATATTTATAAATACGCAAGGAAATATATTCTTGGTGCTCACACGTCGCATAATCTTAACTAATTGTTAAGTAAAATCTCTCGCACCAAAAAAACGTTCAATTAAGTGATGAAATTTTCTTTGCTTGCTATATTGCTATTTGCTTGCTATTTTGCTACTATTCTAAATTTTAGAATATTTTTTGGCTGTAAATGTATCAGCTTTATACAAATTGTTAATTTCTACCAACGTTTTAAAAGCTATGCAAAACTTTACAAAATTTGCATTTAAAAAAATAACAGGAAAGATTTTTTTCGTGTTACATACTTTATTTTTTTTTAGAAAAATGTAACTAGTTGATATGAAACTATTTTTTTCACCTTGAATGCCAATTTAATCATGTATTTTGCAAGCAAAATTTCGTTTCCATAACTTTTTTGTTCGTAAAGATATTTAGAGATGCAACTTGTTTTAAAACTTCAATGGCAAATTTTGACATAAAAAAAGAGTATTAAATTTGGACGACCAAAACGTTTCTCATTCAATTTTAACACGTCGAAGTGTTTAATGTTACTATGTCTTATAAATTAGTTAGAATTCGAATTTGACTTAATGCGATTTTATAGATGGATTTAATAGGGAAGTAATGGCGGTAGTAACTGGTTTGGCACAGAAAATGATAAATGTACCTCAAAACATTTTATAGCTGCAATAAATTCTCTGCAATAAAAGAAAGTGTTTATGTTTTTTATATAAGTTTTATGAGGGTTTTCAGTTGAAAATAATGACTCCTAAAATTCGGGTCCCAAATACTTTACTGAATTTCCTACATTTTTAAAATACGAAACTCGGTCCAATATTAACATCTTTTCGGAATGGCTGCATTGAGAGAAATTCAGCAAGAACAATTTTTTCTAAAGAATAAATTGCAGTAAAATTTTCATTTCAGTTTATTTTCCACTACCGTCACGTACATTCTACAAATTTAGTATGCAATAAGAATAAAATATCGTTACCTATAAATAAAAGTAAGTAATAATAAAGTGTAAAGTAATAATAAAAGTAAACAAGTTTTTGTGCAAGTTCGATGATTGTGATCGTGACAATTTATTTTATCTGAGGCTTTTTTATCCACATTCATTCACATTGTGTCTATTTACCCCTTTTTTAGAAGTCTCGATATAAAAATACGTCATGTTAAACTGTATAAGCTTTTTAACGCTTTTCATGAAGGTTAGTTTATTTATAGTTCCCAAGAAATATTATATTACAAGGCTTACACTTACAGCAAGACATTTATTTGCTCAGCTAATTTGCGGAGCTCAAACTTTTAGACGACTTTCAAAATGAAACGTGTTAATGATAAGTGTCACCACTTTCAGAAATATATTTGCTCTATTTTGTATTAGAACCCTTTTGATTGTTTTAAAAAGTAAAATAGATTTTACAATTCTGAAGGACACACAGCCTAAAATAAATCACCCGAATGGAATCAATACAGACTTAAACTACCACAATTTCTATCTTTTGTCTTAAAAAAAAATCATTTAGATGTCTTTCTTTTTCTACAGTTAAATAATAATAACATAAAACTTTATAATAAATATACGGTAAAAACCTTTCAAATGTAAGAGCACTATCGACTGCTGAGTAAATGCTCTTTGTTGTACCTCATTTATAATCATATACAGGGTATACCTAAAATGATTGATTAAACTTAAATGCGGGAATGACAGATTAATTAAAAATTTTTCTATACACATATATTTCGAAACTCTTCACTTTCGAGAATGGGGGGCGTTAAAGTTTTTAAAAAAAGGAAACAGAAATTATTTTATTCAAATATGGACCGTAATTTGAGATTTGATTGTCAACGCACTCTTATGGATATGCCACATTTTTTACAGTATAATTTCGAATGTGAAAATTTTCGTTCACATTTCTTTTCAAGATATTTCAAATTGGATTAAGAGAGAGAACTAAATATTCAAAAAAAGAATGTATTTGTGATGTAAAGGTGTAAAGTGATCCAAGTTTTTATTTGAAATAATAGTAATAATGCAAGTAATCATGTCCATCAATGAAACAAAATCTGTATTTACTTGATTGTTTCCAAATATTTTTTAGAACTAGAAATAAACCACTTTGCTTAATTTTGAACACGAAGTATCTGGAATGTGAAGCGTTTCTGGACACATCTTTATAGGAACTTTTTTAGTTAATTTCTGACAGAATTCGTTATTAAAATTTGGCAAATCATTCTACTTACACTCTGTATAGCTAATACATTATTATCATTTGAGATTATTTCAAAAATATTTTCATGACATGTATCTGAAGGTCATGTAATCTTACGTTCATAAAAATTTCTTTGTCATTAGTTATTTGACTTTATAGATTGGAAAATTTGTACATGTTTGTATATGTTGTTAAAAAAACATACTATTGGTCATTTTAAGAGTCTTATTAAAGAGAAGAAGAATTTTAATGTTTTCTCTATATTCTGTATATTACGCATTTTGCTTCACATTTACATAATTTATATTAATCGTTTCCAAATTTTTAGGCAGGTAATACGAAAGGCTTCCTCTTTCAACTTTCTCCCAAGCTACATGTTATTCCATAAATGCCTAGTCAATTTTAAATGTGATAAACATAGCATTAATTTCATAAATAGATGCAAAATACGAACATTATTTACTTCTTCCAACAAATTTGAACAGTCAATATAGCCGTGCTAAAACATGTTTTCCATAAAAAAGTTAAGTTTCGCCCTTTCATCACCTGTTTCACTTTTATCGCCACCGTTCCGACGGCAAAAATCCTGCCCAAAGTATATAAATCATAAACATATAGATTTAACAATATTTCTTAAATTCTCACACGGAACGTATTTTCCAGGCGTACCTCTATTTGAAATATATTGTAATCTGTGCTAAACCCATAGATCAATACCGGAGGCCCCATATTTTATAAATATTTTCTTAAAACCAGTGTATATTTCCATGTAGAAA